TCTCTCTCTCTCTCTCTCTCTCTCTCTCTCTCTCTCTCTCTCTCTCACACACACACACACACACACACACACACACACACACACACACACACACGGAGCGAGGGGGCAAAACACAGAGATGACCTGGGGTACTATGGATAAGAAGACAATACATAGGGTCTGGGAAAACTTGGCAAGTACCGAGACATTTTGCAAAGATGGACAGTACCGTGTAGGGGTATTTTGCAAAGATGGCAGGTCCATCCGACGCCAGGGGCATTCCACAAAACAGTTTTTGTGTCAGGGGGGTATTCCGCTCTACCCACATCTTTTAGGGGCATTTTGGCATATATCTCAAGATTCTCAACTTATAGGAGTATTTTCGCAAATGATCCCATCGATAAATGGTAAAAAAAAAAAAAAATCATCCGACAAGGATATATACGTAGTATACATAAGCGGTCGTAACATGCAAAATACCCACATAAGTCGAGATATATGCTCAAATGCCCCTGAAAGATGTGGATAGAGCGGAATGCTCTTTCGGGCAAAATTCTTTGTGTTATGCCACTGTCAGGCCGGTGCGCAAATTAAAAAAAAAAAAAAAAAGTCCGGTGCACAAATTTGCATTCTGGACCTCACATTTTGGGCCTGGGCATTTATGATTGGGTCACGATGATCAATTCCCAAACTTGGATGGATGATGAGTAATATGGATCAGATCCCACTACCCTGGATTATTCATTTTTCACTCTCGATTACGAAGATCAACGGTTCACTTGTCAAGGAGGTGAATAACCAATTGAAAGTTGAACGTGAGGTGGAGAGACTAAAGGGAAAAAGGTTGGAGGAGTGTGAGGCCGGTGCGCAAATTTGCATTATGGACCTCGCCTTTTGGGCCTGGGCATTTGTGATTGGGTCACGATGATCAATTTCCAAACTTGGATGGATGATGAGTAATATGGGTCAGATCCCACTACTCTGGATTATTCATTTTTCACCCTCGGTTACTAAGATCAACGGTTCACTTGTCAAGGAGATGAATAACCAATTAGAAGTTGAACGTGAGGTGGAGAGACTAAAGGGAAAAGGGTTGAAGGAGTGTGAGATTTAATGATTGAAGAAAGTCATGTCTAGTAAGATGAAGGTTGCCAAGTGGCAGAAACCACCCGGGACAGATTTGCACCAACGCTTTGAGGTGTTAGTACAAGAATTTAGGAAGAAGAGAAACAAAAGCAAAAAAAAATCAGTCACCAGTCAAAACGATCAAGTGTTAATAAAGACTCATTCGCAAAGGAGTGTTGAAAGATCATGTGTCAGATGAAAAAAAAAAAAGATCGTTAAGTTGCATGTAAAAAATGGAGTAACGTACTCTACCTTGGATGCATAAAAAAATAAAATCATGAACCTCCACGCGACCCGAGCATTTGGGGAAGAAGATGTTTATGGAAAATCGATCATGAACACAACTACATTTTCGTAGCTCACAAGGTAATGTCGTATGATCAAATGTTTGTAGTATATTTTTTTTCGGTGCAGAGTTCTTAACTCATCTTTAAGTATACTTATAATTATCTTAATGATTATTAGGACGTAGAAACAATGGGCAAGACTCAAGTTCCTTTTAGATTCGATCTTGAACGCGGCTACATTTTCGTAGACCGTAAGAGAATGTCATAAGGCAATTTTTTGCCGTATAATCTTTTTCGGTGTAGAATTTTTAATCCATCTTTTGGTATAGTTATCACTCTTTCAATGATTACTTTGCAAATATTTTGCATTATGAATCTTGAAGGTTTTTCGCTCGGTGACTCTACTAGTTGCAATGGTCCGCTTGTTTATTCACTTATAACACATTGGTGTCATCATATTTACAATGGTCATGCATCATATAATATACAAATCAAATGGGGTGAACATTCATATTGCTTTCATTATTGAGGATGTTCAATGTTGTAATAAGAAGTCGTATGGCTGGTTACAAAGATATCAAATTTCGACTTATGCAGCACTTTTGCAGTGTCGATGTTCGATAAATGACTTATTGGATACGGAACGATTTTTCATCCGAACTTTTTAGTCACATCTTAATATTGGGGACAAAGCTTGTTGCAGCAAATGATGCAGACCGATAAGAAAAAAAAAAACTATGCAGGGTCAGAAAGAAGGACGGTGTATTCCATCTAATGGCTTGAACACTAAATCTATGACATTCTTTTATTTATCCGTAAGGATCGTCTCCAATAGTTTGTTGAAGTCCTTGAACTATTGTAAAGATTAGAAAATCCACCAGTATGTTATAACTTGTAAAGGGAAGGGACGCGTTAGTTGATTGCTATAAAATCTTGAAACGTGCTCACAATTCATCCACTACTATTTATAAACACAGAATGCAATCATCTTAAGAAAGTGAAACGATAGTTGTTTCAAGTTGGTGGGAATATTATCGCTCTTAAGTTCGCGATATCTCATATGTATAAATCCTTAGCCCTAAGGCAACCTTTAATGGTTTTGTTCAGTAACCTGTCCAGTAGGACAACTCTATATCAATGAGAACTCCGACAATTGTTTTTTGCATTTTCAAGTGTGGGTATTTTTAGAAAGAAATACGCAATCTTCATTGTGTTATATCTCGTGTTATCAATAAAAAATTAACTTTCGCAGTTGCGTGTGATTCACATCTCCTTCAATGGGTCTCTTTGTAAAACTAAAATCCGTTTATATGTATTAAAATTATTAGCGATTCGGATATTGAGTGTGCTTGGTAAGTTATGACTGTATGTAAAATTAACATTTATCGTCACATCTCCTTTCACCTCTGCGATTCGATTTTTTTCTGACGCTTATGCACAATTATGATAATATTATTCTTCCACGTACAAGTTTTTTCTCATCCTTAATGTGACAATTTTTCAATTTATTCCTTTCACTTTCATTTATTATTCAACCTTGACTTATATCTATTTAAAATAAGGATTTGTCAGTCTGCTTCGATAATCATATCCGCTTGTCTTATGAGTCTTGTAGTAGTCATCAGTTAACCTTGGAGCATATTTTTTTTTTTTAGTTGGCATGTTGTTCAGTATATCACAATTTCTGTGATATTGATGCTCGATGCTCTCTTTTATACCGCACCAACTTGAATATTTTTTTTTTTTAGAAACTCACATTTTTAATTTGCAATAAGAAACGAAATTTTATCTTGAAGTGTTATAAGGATGAGTTTGAGCGTCATGAGTTATATAAATTCAAAAAATAGCAAGATCATTTGGTGAGGTGTACTATATTCTCAAACACAAGGGTGTGCAAAAATGACATTTAGTTTGCCCCTCCTACTCCGGGTGCAGTTCAATTGGTGATTGACGTATATCTTATGTAATTTATCTGTTGTTATTAAAACTTCAAAACAAGTTCAATTTTAAGTTACGAAGCACAGAAAACCTAATTAAATAAATTTATTCCCCCAATTAATATATATATATATATATATATATATATATATATATATATATATATATATATATATATATATATATATATATATTACGCCTGCTCTTCAACCTTCTCTATCAATCAATCTTAAAAACATTTCTATTAGCTTTGAAATTTTGAAGATTTTAACGATACAAAGGGATTATTGTGGAAACACAATGCAAGGAAGTCAGAGTGTTGAAAGGTAATAATGAAAAAAATGGATGTATATTTTTTTTTAGATTATTATGAGTTTTATGGAGTTCAAAATAGAGAATACCTTCATATTGGTTGTTTGGTGGTTACTCCATTGAATAAGCCAATGTGCCAATCGTTCTCTATTAGCTTTCATTCGTTTACACTTTTTTTTACGACAAAGAGAATCTTAAGATATTCAATGTAACTAGACGAGCTGCAAAAAAAACTTAATAGTTTCGGAAGTGTACATTTTTGATAAATCTAAGTTGTGCCCTAAATCGAATATGGTAAATTTTCGAGTCCAACGTTGGTCTGCCATTTTTTTGCATTTAGTAAATTTTAATTTTTTCCTTTACTTGGAAAGAATGCTCGTTGTTTTCATGAATTTCTTTTGGTCGATGACATATTGATATTCTTAACTTATAAAAGAATATCAAATATGTTTTGTTCACGAACAAGAATTGTTAAGGCAATTTCAGAAGCGTTGCAACATTGATCTTATTTTGGACATACAAATGATAGAAAATGTTGGGTATTTGTTGGATGCATTGTCAAACTTTTCAATGTTACGGTTTACCTCATGCACTACATATAAGAACCAATGTGGGACTGTTGATGAGCGATTGGTATATTACAAAATTCAAGATTTGATGTTTTATTACAGTCGTCAGTAAAAACTGGTGGTTATTTGTTAGTTTATCCATCGTGCAAAAATATTCACTACTACCCCTAACAACGAATTTCCTTTCCTTTTCTCTTTGAAACTTAAAACTGTGGAAATGATCAAACCTGGATAATGATCGCCCTTGCTCTGGCGATCCCCACAGAGCTGCACACCCCGCCCTCTACTGTCCCGGGGTGGATTTTCACAGAGGAGCGATACCGCAACATGGCAAACCAATACTGACTCTACTGGACATAGCTCCGACACGCGGAGCAACCCGCCCTCCAATGGTTAACAGATGGAACGGCGGCCCTGGCCAAACTGCTTAACCAGACCGTGCTCGCTTCTAAGCAGGTACAGCGGCTGAGGACGGAAGCATTTATCAGAAGGGGGTTGGAACTGGGTGATGGCCCATCAACAGAAGAAGGGGAGGAGGAATGGTGGATGCAATGGGCGGCGCTGCAGGTGGATTGGGAGGAATGGCAAATTAAGGACGCTGAAGCTTGGGGATTGCGCAACAAAGGTCAATGGACAGTGGCGGCGGGGCGCATGACAAAGACATTTTTCCGTCGGCTTCATCCGAAACGGCCAGCCTCTGCCATGATGACACTGCAGGCTCCATTCCAACAGGACGGCCCGCTGGCCGATAACATCCAACACATCCTGCAGTTTGCTCATCAGTACTACTCCTACCTCTTAACCGAGGAGCAGCCATGGACACCGGAGGAAATCGCAGCAGCTCCGTCAGCGGCTATTGGGCAGAAGATAACCACAACACTGACTGATTCGGACCGAAGCGACCTCGACGAGCCAATCAATGAGCAGGAGATCGGTGAACCGTTGGCCGACATGCCATCAGAAAAAGCTCCGGGACCAGATGGAATGCTGGTGGAACATCTCAAGGTTTGTCTGGATACTCTCCTGCCGCATCTCCTTAAGGGCTTCAACGATGTCAGATAGGGAGTCAAACCTCTCCCAGAGGAGTTTGGTCTCACTACAATCATCCTGGTGCATAAAAAGGGCCCCCCCAAGGAGATTCGCAATTGGCGGCCCATCTCTCTGTTGTCCGCCTCGTATAAGCTGTTGGCGAAGATTCTGGCAAATCGTCTCGCCCGTAAGCTCCCTAGGATTGTCGATTCCACGCAAATAGGCTTTATCCCGGGTCGGCGGATCTTGACTAACATCTTGCTCGCACGGCAGATAGTATGGCAAGCTCCGCGCCAGGACCCGCCTCTGGCGTTTGTCCTATTGGACTTCGAGAAAGCCTATGACAGAGTCTCGTGGCCATTCCTGCTCGAAGGCCTGAGACAAAGGTGATTCGGCCCGAAATTTCTCTCTATGGTGAAGTGCCTTTTAGCCTCGGCTGCGTCTAGACTCTTGATCAATGGCTACCTATCTGACCCGATTGTCGTCACGCGCTCAGTTTGTCAGGGCTGCCCTCTGTCCCCGACACTATATGCACTCTATATCGAACATCTCCACGATATGATTAGAGCGGATGAGGAGTTGGAGGGACTGAAACTCCCGGGGGGTAGACAACTCAAATCATCAGCATTCGCGGACGATACCGGCGCGGTCACTGCAACCACTCAGGCTAGCGTTCGGACGCTGCGGAACCAGGTAGACACTTTTGAAAAGTTTGCAGGAGCACGCATGAATTGGCATAAAACGGTGGCGCTGGTGCCTGACCTCACCGCAGCCCCCCTGTTTGAGGGAATGAAAGTCCAGCCAATGACAGAAACGGCGTCTTACTTGGGCATCGAGCTCCCTCAGGCTCTCATGGATGGTTCCCAGATGGAGCAGCTGATGCGGAAAGCAGCCACGCGACTCGCCCTCTGCGGGAAAACACTGGACGCTGGGATATTTGGCCGAGTGCTCCTTGCGAACACAGCAGCTTCTCCGATGCTCTGGTACGCAGCCCCCGTCTCAACTCCAGGTCCGGTCCCTCAGCGGGAATATCGAACGACGCTCTCCAAGTTTATCTGGAAGAACGATCCGTTCGCGCCACACGCAATCCACCGGGTCTCCTGGCGTAAGCTCATCCAACCCAAAGCAGGTGGGGGACTGGGCTTGATTGACCTGGCCACCCAGATACAAGCGCTGCAGCTGCATACGGTCATCTGGCTCCTTCTGGAGCAGGATGACGCCCCCTGGAAGATTCTAACGCTGCAGACTATGGCTGAAGCAGCCCGACTGCACCCGACAGATATGGAGTTGGCCCTGATGCAACCAGCCATTCTTACGGAGCTCAAGAGAGGCGCTCTGTGGTCCCCGTTCCTGAAGGCATGGCGGGACCTGGCCCCGCTTGATCTCAATCCGTCGAAGTCAACAGACCACATCCTCCAGCAGCCTTTGTTTGGCAACCCGCGGATCCAGGATAGCAACGGCGATCAGTTTCCATGGCCAGGCCCCAGAGGCGCCTTTGGCAAAGCATGGCTCAAAACCGGAGTGGCGAGAATAGCAGACCTCTGGGACCTACAGACCAATGACTGGCAGCAGGAGTCGGCCCTGCTGAAACAACTGGATGGCCAGACACATAAAAAGGAACGGTTACACCGCATCAAGCGGGCGATTCTGGAGGAATGTGTGGACGCTCTCAGGACGATGCAGAGCTTCGACAGGGAATAGGTGGCGCTGAGATCTGAAGACCCGGTCCGCCTGCTGTTCCAGATTACCGCGCGCGTGGGGGAGACCTGGTTGGTGGTTGAAGCTTGGGAGAATCCTCCCTCCGACACTGCACTCGGCCACCCCTTGGTTCGCGCCCAGAGCAGGGATGGGTGGGTGCCCAAGGACCTCGTTAGACCTGTTTCGGTGGTCACAGACAAGAAAGGCCTTGCCCGGGTCACCCACCACGTCTTTTGCCCGGATAAGTGCCCAGCGCAGTTGGCGGTTGACCCGACCATGTGGAATTGGAGGAAGCAAGGCCTCCAACGCCACGACCTCCCGCTGCACCAAATGTCCACCAAAGTCATCTACCGATCACTGTCCACCCCCTACCGAATGGACCAGGAACTCCAGTATGGCTGGGCCAGAAAGGGATGGCTTACGGGGACCTCCACCATAAAATGGTCCCCTACTGTGTGGAAGCCTATGGCCAGCTGCCTCCAAACGCTCCCCAATCTGAAGCATGCAGGGCTCCTCTGGCTGAACATCCATCTGGCGCTTCCAACGAACCAGTGGATTGCGAAGCGCTCATCCTTCTCAGACGGGATGTGTTCACAATGTGCCGCAGAATGTGAAGACATCCCCCACGTGTGGAGTGGGTGTCCCCCGCAGCAGCAATTATGGAAGTGGTGGAGGCAAGAGGTGGGGGAAGATATCGACGCGATGCCTCCGGATGAGTGGGCTGACTGCTTACTCATCGGCCCGGCCTTCAGGGACCCCCCCATTCGAGGTCAGCGAGCGTATGCTATCGAGATCATTAGGGCAGCCTTCTTGGCAGCGGTCTAGGCCCTCATAACGCAACTCATCTTTCAACAACGCCCCCCTACCTTTGCGGCCCTACGAGCGATGAGCCTCGCCAATCTTCGAATGACCATCTCAGCATACATCAAAAGGAAATCGGACACGGCATGGCCACTTCTCAAGCGAACTTGGGCGCCATATTCCAAGCTCGTGCGCATTCATGACCAGTTGGGGTCCTGGGAATGGATCCCTGACGTGGGGACTTGCCCCTCGGAGGCATCACAATGAGAAGATAGTCAGCGGCATCTGGAACGCTGGTAGGCCTTACAAGACTGCACTGATACAGCGGCACAGATCCATGGTATAGAGGAGAGAAAGCTTGGTAGAGATCCCTTGTAGGTGTAATGGGTGTAGGAGAGGGGGCCGATAGGATTTGCAGGTAGAGTTGCTTTATGCTCGGTAGGTGTTGTAGCGGAAACAGGCTATGGAACCCATGTGAAGATAGATAGAGGTCAAAAACGGTAAAGGACTTCATAGGAACGTAGTGGTAGGACAGAAAGCAATGTATAGTACGGAAGCATGAGCAGATGGTAGAGGCCATATGGCCCCAAAATGGAAAACGCCGCCCCGCTTGTGCAAGAATAGAAGGACCGAGGTGGTCACAAGTGCGGGAAGGCGTCATGAGTCATAGGGTTGAAGTCGGGTGACGACTGATCTGGCATCCTCCCGGGGGGAGTGAGGGGCTTGCCCCTGGGCATCGCAGGTCTCGCCTCCCCAGACAACCCCTTTGTGACTGGGTGCTAACGCTTCCCGACAGAGGGGGCCTTAGGAGCGACCAACCTGAATATGTGCCCTTAGGCAAGCCCCGGCGCAGGTGCCATTGCCTTGGGGCAGTGGCGATACCCCCGTTGCCCTTTCTTTTGCTAATTCTCATCTGTACTCTGGGACGCTGGGCCCGATTCCTAGCAGGTGCTGCTCCCCACCAATAGACTGGAGCCTCCCCCCGGGTGCTACCGATAGCTGCTCTTACCAGTATCGTTAGCACTACCGGGGGTTGTTTGTTAAAAAAATAAATAAATAATAAAAATAAAATAAAATAAATGATGTTGATTATTATCTCATCAATTTATCTGGGAAACACTGAGGGCTTTGGTTAGACCAAATTTCAGTTCCAACTGGGAGACAACGTGTTCTTCGGTGTTAACCATGATGGGAAGTTGTGGGTCTGACAATTAGGAACAATGTTTTGACATTTTGATATACATAGGTCGTATTTTTTGAATGGTTGATTTTACGATGTGTCAAGGATATAAAGAGAATTAATTGTTTCCGAATGTGTTTCATCCACAAGGCCAAGGTTCCATTAGTCCGGATTAATTGTTTCTGACCGTTGATTCCTAATCTACGGTAAAAAATAAATGATCCGGGCCACAAGGACCTGGCCCCTAATCTACCTTTATACATTTAGAAAAGTGTTACCCTCTTCCTCTGAATAAAACGTACAGTTAGTACATATAGATGTATTTGGGACAAGGTTTAAAGTGGAACCCCACTGTTAGGACAAAAACCGGTAAACCAACGGGCCTAACTGAGTTGATGCACTAATGAACTGCTGAAATGGTAGGCCCAGGTTCAAATACAGGTCCAATCAGATAATCAGAAAAAATCATTATGAATTAGGGGTCGGTTAGTCCAATAATGGATAATATGTTTTTTTTTTGTTTTTTTTTTATCGCCATTACACAGCCTCAACATTGCTGAAAATAGTGAGTTGCCAACTTTGAGCTTTCCGGAACTCAGGGCTACATGACCACAATGGTTGGCGCCGCCACCTTGAAAGAAAAAAAGTGTGCCCCTGACAGTTCGGCAACGCCTCCAACCCCATGTGTACTGGTGGTTTAAAGGATAAGTTTTTTTTATGCCCAACCAACTCAATCACTTGTCTAATCTGACAGGGAGGCCTTTCACGCCTCTATTATTAAGATTAATATTAATATTATTATTATTATTATTATAGTAAGTATTACGCCCGCGGTTCGAAAAAGCTTGGCCCGTAGGGCAGCGCCTCCAACCCCATGTGTACTGGTGTTTTAAAGGATAGTTCTTTCTATGCCCAACCAACTCAATCACTTGTCTAATCTGACAGGGAGGCCCTTTATGCCTCTATTATTATTGTTATTATTATTGTTATTATCATTATAGTATTACGGATCCGTCCACGAAGCTCTGTCCTAATGATAATGGCTGACCCCTGGCTGGTACCCCCCACCGGCGGGTCGGCGGGTGCAGCCCCCACATGTTCCCTAGTTAGAGGTTTGAACACGAGCTGACTGTGATGATGATATTTCATGGCTGTCGCTCTCTTATATATTTCAAAAAAAAAAAAAAAAAAAAAAAAACGCTCATAATGCGAGAATGAACTTGCGCATTACCAAGACGTATCTAGCCCCACTGTCTGGAAAAAAAACGGTAATGCAATAATTAACTGCACCATTACCAAAAGAGGGTGGGCGTATCATTGTTCAACTAACCAGTCCCTAGTCATTTGGAATTCTTTCATTCTATTCATCGGGTCCCATCTGGAATCGAAATCGGGCTACTTTTTTTTTCTTTTTTTTTTTTTGCTGGAAAATGGGTCCAGCGTCCCTATGCAAAGATGTATTGATATGTCCAACTACCTAAGTATGCACGTTAAACAATATATGTCAGATGGTCCTATCCATCTGATTTACAATATCTCCTAAACAGTATAAGGCATCGATCCCAATCTTCTCGATCAGATGAAACCCTAAGCTAGATATTATGTGTGTTTTCAATGATGTGATTTGTGTCATATGGGAATTGGGTCCAGCGTCCCTATACAATGGTGTGTAACTATGTCCTACAGTCAGAAATAGTCTATTTACGTATAACAATCCATAAAAGACTACCTCCAATCTGTATGTCTTTAATCTGTATCAATCAAAATCTAATCGCAAAACCTTAGGCACGATATGATCTATGTGATCTTTATCAACCAAGCAGAAATATAAAGCTCTATCAATGGCGAGATATATATGATCTGGATGTGAAGTCCAATATTCATTATGCCCTACTGTGTGAAACTATCAAAAGTGGGGGGGAGGGCATTGATTGCTTCCCTGCGCAAAAGAAGGATTGACCTTCTGCAAACAAATCCCTAAACAACCCACCTCCAACCCACGAGGCGATCAGCACCCCATTGACGATTGATATTGCGGGTCGGGCAAACCAATCATTACCGACTATCTTATTCCTATCCTCTGTCAAACAACGAGAAACAATTCCGTGTCGAGGTTGGAGGGGGGGGAGACAGTAAGGCACTTCTCCGTGTCAATCGTAAATCCCACCACGTCCACTTGCGACATCACGCTGATGGTGATCTCAGATGCACAGATACCACTTTCTACCCCGCCGCTTCCATGGTCGTCGTCGTCGTCGTTGTTGTTGCTGTTGTTGTTATTGTCGCCGCCACTATCATTGAGGGGAGGGGAGATAGCAAACCTCTTTTCCATGTCAACCCCAATCTCCACCACGTCCGCATGTGGCATCTCCCCCATCATGTCGATGATGATTACAGGTGTACGGACACCATTGTCTGCCCCACTGCTTCCTCACTCGTCGCTGCCGCCGTCAACATCGTTGTTGTTATTGTTGTCGTCGTCGTTATTATCATTGTTGTTTTGTTGTTGTCGAGCACATTCTTGCTGTCGAACTCAATTTCGTCACTATCCTTGATGCCGCTGTTGTTGATGTTATTGTTATTGTTAATGTTCTTGCTGTTGTTGGTGTTTTCATCGCAATCATCTTCGTCGGCCTCCAAACCTCCCTCCAACAAGTCGTCCTTGTCGCCCTTGCCACCCATCACACCCATCTCACCAATTCTCTGCCGATTCTCCAATTGATTACGTAGGCCGCGCCCCAAAAGTAAAGAGGGTTTTGCAAGCACCCATCCGATCATCCGCCCGCCTCCAGTCGATGTAGACCTCGAGCCAGGGATCCGGCCCCTCCTCCAGCTCCCACATGATATCTAGCATCTCCTGGGTCCCGTCTTCCAACCACTGATCCAGCGAGATCGCCCCCCCATCGATCTCCAGCCCTTCCTGCCGCCGCAGCATGAGGACCTCCACTATCGTTTGCAGCTGCTTGCATCCCTCCTCTAGTGTAATAAGCCATTCTTCCGCTCGCTGATGTAGCTCCTCCACCGAGTCCATCTCTCACCCAATTAACTGCGCCACTCACACGATTCATTTGAACCCCTTGTAATCCCACGGCTTGCACTACCCCTGGCTCACGTGTCACAGGACGTCCACGTTTCCAAACAACAGGCGCCACGTGGCAACATACCACACACACCGATCGGGCACGTGCACAGGCCCAGCTGCCGGGGAGCTGTTCTCCCCAAGCGCTAGTCGAGCCGGGCGACCGGGCCCTACCGGTCGGCCGGCGTCAGGGTGCTAGCACTACATTTCTATAGTTAATGGGTGTACCAACTGAGATAGGCCCAAATCGGAGGTCCGGAGAAGAATGATTAGCATCACCCGCACGCAAAGATGAGACACAAATCACCCGTGGGCTGTAAACCTTGCAAAAAGAGGGACTGGTAGCAGCCAAGTGACAGTCTCTCTCTTGAGTCAAATGGGTGCGCTCTTCTTTTTTGAAACGAAGTGGACAACTACCTGTCGGCTTTAAGAGCGTACTCACTCTAGTGATTTCCGAAGTGTATCTGGCCATGATGACGACCGCCCAAGGCTGTATCTGACCGCAATGACAGACCAATCGAGAAGAAAAAGTTATAGTGTGAGTATCATAATTGCCGTACGCCTTGCAAAAAGAGGACTGGTTGTTTATAGAAAACCACGAGCCGTACATGGCCCCAGCCAAGTCGAGAATCACAATTGAGCCTCTCCGAAAAAATTGGACGCTAAGGGCACAACTGGACCAACGTGGCTCACGGCGTCAGCCAAAACAAAAACAAAAACGACATGCTCCAATTTCGGTAAAGCTTGGCACGCAGTGGGAATCCGCCCCGTAAAAAAACAGATTCTATAAATAGGAGGTACTGGTGATGTGAAGGCGTAAGATGGTCGCTTGATTCTATAAAAAAGCAGAATGGCTGCCAAGTGGCAGTCTCTTCTGATCCCAACGAGTGAGCATTGCCTTTTTTTTTTAAAACAAAAAGACTCAAGTGTTCTTTCTTGTCTCTATTTTGCCGCTTTTACGGCATACTCTGACACCGGTAGCAATACAGCAAAATTTGCCACGTTTGCCGCTCCCGGTTTGCCATTGTGTTGTGTTTTGCAGTCACGCAGGGGTCTCAAATTGGAAAAGACAATTCCTCGACGCCCTGCCATTTGCAAAATTGCCCACTTGAGGGGTCACGTAGCAAAAGTCGTCGACAGATGCTCAACCCCTTGAGGGGTCACACAGCAATTCTCTTCCATGAGCTCACAAAGACCCCTGGATAGTAGGAATAGGGGGACTAATAATAGGGGGTGCGCTAGGAGTATTGACGCGAGGATGGGATGGGATGCGAGGTAGCCTTGTCTCTTCAGGGCAACCATGGCTGACAGCTTCCGGCAATCAATGGGAGACTAGTGACTGGTCTATACAACACCCTGGACTTCAAAAAAAAAAAAAAAAAAAAAAAAAAAAAGAACGGGGCCCTTTCTTTTAGGAAAACAACAAAAAAAAAAAAAAAATAAAAAAAAAAAAAAAAAAAAAAAAAAAAAAAAAAAAAAAAAGAAAAGAAAAGAAAAAGACGGGGAACAAGGAAAAATAAATTTGTGAACACCTCTAGAGGTGGTGGTGGCAAATTTCTCAACCCCTTGCTTGGCCCTGCAGGCTGCTGACATTTGCCACACGGTCCACACCAATTCCAAATTAAATGGGTGGGTGGGCGGGCAGGTGGGCAAAGTGTGACCGCAAAACTATAGCAAAATTTCAATTTTGCTATTTTAGTATTTTGCCAAAAAAGCTTCTAGTGTGAGTAGGCCCTCACTCTCTGCGAAGATATGTCTGCAGTCTTGTCGAGGTGATGGCTCTTTAGGGCCACTTGTACTCTCTCACTCTCTCTCTCTCTCTCTCTCTCTCTCTCTCTCTCTCTCTCTCTCTCTCTCT